GCGGGCGGCCGAGGGCGCGAGCGAGCGAGCGAGCCGCGTCTCCACCAGCGTCCGCCGCGGCCGCGCTCGCCCTCGCCCGGAGCCGGGGACCGACCGACGGGCCGACCGCCTGGCGCTCGGACGCGGGCGCTCGCTTTGTGCTCGGGGCCGGCTCCGGCGAGGCTCGGGCTCGCGGTGCGCGGCGTCCCCGTCCGCTCGCGGCCACCCGGCTCCGGCGGCCTCGGCGCGCGAGGGGCTGGAGGCGCGGGAGCCGCTCTGCACCGGTCGGTCCCCGCGCCCCCGCGCCGCTCTGGGCTGCTCCGAGCACCGGTGCTTCGGGGCTCCGAACTCGGGCTGCCGGGGCAAGTGCCTTCATGAACCCAGAGGATGTCCGGGAAGCACTACAAGGGTCCTGAAGTCAGTTGTTGCATCAAATACTTCATCTTCGGCTTCAATGTCATATTTTGGGTAAGTTGGAGCGCTCCCGGGGTTTCGACCATCGTGGCCGGGCGACTCGCCGTCCCCGCGCCGCCTGCACTTTCGCGGCCCCTCGGGCGCTCGCGGAGCGGGGCAGAGGCGTCTGCCTTCCGCGTTCCCTGCCTGCGCCTCCGAGAGAGGAACATTTCATCCTCTCTAGGAATGGGAAGAGGTGAAAGGAAAAAGCAAGCCGGAAAGGGGGCACCCGGGCCTTGGGGTGGCTTCTTAAGGGACGAATAGCGGGGATGCAGATAAAGGAAAGGGCTCGGCGGTTTGAGAAATGAGCAGCCGCACGGAGGGGCTTTGCCCCCGGGGGACGTGGATGTGGGCAGAGCGCGGTGTCGTAACCGGGAGGCTGATCGGGCAGCGCCGACCCGAGTCCACCTTGTGACACGGACCCGATTGGACGCGGCTGGTCTGCGCCGAGCTCGGCGCGTCTCTCCTTGCACCAGCCCGGGCTTTGTGTGGGATGCAGATGCGCGGCGTGCGGCTCCGTAATGTGCACGTAAATAACGCTCCCCGCACGCGCTCCCCCAGCTGCAAGGCGCTCCCTCTGCATAATGCGCTGGCCAGTGGGCGTGCGGGTGGAAGGATTTATTTCCGTATATATCACTGGCAGGGTAATAACAAGTCACCATCGACATATGTTTCGATGTGTTCGTGCCTCACGTCCTCCTTTTTTAAGGAGTGATACGGAGCAGGCCGTTTTTGGGAAACCTGGAGGAATGCAAAGGAGAAGGTGTGCAAGGCATGCTTCGCCGGGGGAGCGGGAGAGCAAACGCTTGAACGCAAGATTCGGACCATCTGCTCGGCACTCCGGTGTGCTGGGCACCTATGGTAATTAGGCTGGGACGCCTACTCTTTTGTTTTGATCCTTTTCCGTGATCTCGCCAACGTATACAGCACCCAGACAAAGAGTTCTCCGGGACAAGGGGGGAACGTTGGTTCGAAGACCCTGTTATTTTTCCTCCCTTTCTCATCCCATCCTCTTCCTCACTGGTCACCCCCTTCCCGTAAAGATGGTGGCCGTCTGGGGGGTGTCTCCAAGTTGCTGTTCCATGTGAGGTAGACAGTGATCGAACTGCGGTTCTATAATAATCCACAGTAGTCTGGGCACAGGGTGTATTTATTTGGATTCTCCTTTAATTTTGGCCATTTGCTGTGAGTAGATACATCTGTGAGAATAGTTATCAATACAGCTCTTCGGATTCTTTTATCCGTGCCACACTTTTACCAGGTGATTTTACTTTCTATTTTCTATAAGAGTCTCTTGCATTGGTCATGCATATTTTGTGTAAGGAGTCGGAAGGGATCGGGGACCACTGTCTGTGTCAGCGTGTCATCAGCCTCCAGGGCCGTGAAGACAGTGTGGGGGACAGTGAATAGGTGTCCTACCCAGCCACTCACTGGCAGCTTTTTGCCAGTGTTGTACACGATTCCTGATAGCAGTACTCCCCCACCCCAGGATCAAATGCTGCTACAAATGTAGGAAGAAGAAGTTGTTTTCTTCCTCCCCACTCCCTAAATCTGGAAATGTTTGAGAGTGGTGGGTAGTCACGTTTCTGAATGCGATACTATGATTTTACTGGGACTTGAAACTTTGTGACTTTGAGAGGCAGGGACTACTGAATTGGGACTGGCCCTTGCTGGGGAAGTGAGTCCAGGCCGCTTAATTCTACTTGAACACTTCCAAAAGTTGCACATTTCAGCTACCAGGCAACAAAAAGAATCCAGGGGCTTTCTCTGCAGTTTCATAGCAGAGGGCGGAAAGGAAATAAAAGGATTTGGGCCTGCTTCCCTGACCGTTTGGTGTAATTTTGTAGCGTGCACAGAGGCAAATTTAGCTTTATTTGTGCAATAGGTTGCAGCAGAACCCTGGAATTGTGGAGAGCTTCAAAGAATTGCAGAATGCTTGCATAGACATTTCCAGAATAGAGCCACAGCTTGTCTGATTTTGAAGGTCTTTGGGGGCGTGTGGGGGGGGGGAGGAGAGGGTACAGGAAGCCTGCCAGGAGACCTAGGCTATGGAACTAAACCAGCTGTCCCAGGCAGAATTGTTAAGTGGGTGCCTTGGTTATGAGGGCCTTTCACTTACTCTGCTTCCTGCATACCCTCCTGCTGCTTTCTGTGCCCAAAACCTTTCTCTTAGATACCCCTTTATACTTTTCCTATCCTGCTCTGCTCCAAAATTTCGCCATATTTAAATTTCCCAGCTTATTTGTGTTTATTAGAACCATGGTCTGTAGTGATGATCAGCAGGAAGGCAAGCATGTTATTTGATTAAAATAATTCAGACTAAAATGTTAGTGACTGAAGAACTGGAGGCAGTAACTTGGCAGCCTGCTTCTGAAAAGCTGCATACCTCTGCTCTCTACAGAGTCACTAACCTGTCTGTGATTGCTAAAAATAGCAGATTTGGTGCTACTCATATACAATGATGATGAAGAGATTGCTAACAGAGAGCACGGTTCCCTAATCTTTCATTTTCACACTGAAACACTAGAATAAATTTGAAATACATTGAAAACATTTAGAGATATTGTTTGGGTTGGTAAAATAAAATTGAGCATTATGGTAGCACCAGTGCTAAGAGTTTGGTTCTTTTGTACTAATCAGCAGTTTGACTGTCAGTTAACTGTCCGGGCCTCAGTTTCTCAGCTGTTAAAATGAAGAAGTTGGACAAGTTATAAGGTTCTTTCTAGTTTGCACACAGAATGAATCTACCAAGTTACAATATGCTGGGGAAGAAAAATAGAAGAGATAGACACTAATATGTAATGGAAATAGCGTATACTAGGACACTTGTTAAATTATAGTCATATTCTCTTATTCAGACTTGTCTGAAGACCAATTTTATTACTTTCATTTCTTCTTCAGAGATCCTTTCATTAAGCAAAAAAATCTTTCACTAATTTCTCCCTGGCTTGTTCAGTTATTGGTATAGTATGCATGCTTGCCTGTCCCCACTGTGAATCTCAGATGTTGTTCTGTGAGTCAAATATATTTTTATTATTAGAATTACAGTTTCATGTATAAAATCTGAGTCCTTTTATATAACAATTGTAACGATATTCTGAGTAACAAAGTCAACATCTTGTACAGATTCCTTTCTCATTAGTTAGTGCAGGGTGGTGGGGAAAAACTTGTTTTCTCTATTATACGTTGGAACAACTCAAGACAGAAGGGAATTGATTTTATCGAGGGTGTCACCATACCAGGACATTTCTGAGGAAACACTGAGACTGGTTTGGGGTAGGGGGAGGGAGGAGAAAGGGGGTTTTGTCTGAAAGTCATTCGTTTTGAGTACTGAACCCCTACATCCTATCAGCCACCATTAAGAGATGTTTTGCTCTGGATGCTTTTGGATTCTGGATCTCTTACTGAACTGTTTCCAGCAAGAAAATTGATATCAGTATTCTGGTTATTTATTGCTCTGTAACAAACAGTGCTAAAACTCAGTTGTTTAAAACAAAACTGTGTTATAGCTCACAGTTCTGTGATTTGGCCAAGCTTATCTGGGCGGTTCTCACTGGGGACCTCTCAGGCAGTTGCTGTGAGACGTGGCTGGAAGTGGAGTTATCTGCGGGCTCTTTGGGGTGGAATGACCAGCAGTCGATGCTCCCAGAGATCAGCCAGAGGTGTCAGCTGGAGCACCTACACGTGGCTTCTTCCTGTTTCTAAGACTGGAAGAAGAAACTTGCAGCCAGTTAAGGCTATACCCGCAACTGGCAGTGTCACTTTTATCTGTTCCTTTGGTTAAAGCACTCATGAAGTCTGCTCAGCGTCAAGGGGGGGGGGGGAAGAAATGGATTCTGCCTTTTGATGGAGGTCACATTGCAGAAAGTCATGTGGGTTGTGACCATCTTTGGAAAATACAGTCTGATGTAGTAAGGCGCTGAGCCTTAATTTGTTTATAAAGTAAAGACAACATTATCTAAAGGAGTTGTCGTTTCAAGGATTCAGTGAGATAACGTATTACCTAGCACAATGTCTCACTATTTAACAAGTGGTGAATATTATTACTGTTATTGTCTCCAGATTTCACACTAGTTCTATCCAGGGCTATAGGACTTCTAGAATGTCTTGGTCTGGTACTTGGGCATCATTACCACTAGGTACTGATAATACCTTTAAGATATGCCAAGAAGATGAGGCAAATGGATTTGATAGATTTTATCATTATTTATTAGGAAAAAGTACCTTCCAAAACTTACGTGTCAATGGAAGCCTTGAATGATTTGGGAGAACCAAGTCATTTTTCTGGTCTCTTTGCTATACAAGGATTAGAACAGCCTTGGATACTTGAGGCCAAATTTCTCTCTTGATGTGCTTTCAGATGTTACATTGTGTCTTTAAGTAGAGGTTTATCCAGTGTCGATGGCAGAATGTTGCATGTAATTTGCTTCCATAGGGCTTAAATTCAGAGAGGAGGGAGATTTAGGGAACCTTAGTGGGGAGGGGGGTACATCAAGTAGGAAGCCTTATCTTATGATTCACTAGAAATTGCAAGATGTTCTGGAATGATGATACATCAGCAGTTTATAAGTCATAATTTTTGTTTTAATTTGCTAGACATCTGTTAGCTTCGATGGCAACCATATGGGAGTCTAAATTGCCTTTTGAATTACAGGGAGATGGTAGGAAGAAAGCTAAATATGGTTATGAAAGTGTCATATGGGAAAAAGTGTAAAAGGTGTACAGACTTCAGTGGGGAAAGCAACTGAGCACCGACTTGCTTGGTCTGGCCACTCCCTCTGTTGGGCGGTGGGAAGGCGCAGAAACATTCTCTCTTGACGATGTACTCGGGAGATTGAAATGAAGCCAAGGGGAAAAGTTGGAAAATCAGCTGATGTTTCACCCACCATAAAATTACCAAGGTGAGCTCATTTAGATGGATCACTCTGTCTTAACATCCACGGTAATAGGTAGTCAGTCCCTGGCAAAAGGTAAAAGCCATCTGTGTTTTTAACAAAGCATTATAATTATGATAT